GTATTCTTATATATATAGACGAAGTCTTATTGAAAGAAAAATAATAACCTGAATCAAAAGATTTGGAGGGTATATGTTGATCAATATCTGGTAATGATTCGATTAGATCAGAATTTGTACGTGGTTTTTCATTTGTATTATTATCATCTGTTGCAAATTGTACACGTTTATTTGATTCCGGTTGAATAAAAAGCCATGTTTTAACAATATCATGTGAATTTGGTGGAAGTAAATCAACTTGACTTAAACGTTTAAATAAGGGTGATTGATGTCCATTAATAGATGGTAGATTTCCATCTCTTGTTACCGATGATGGTATTGAAATTATTTTTGGACGTTCAAGATTTTTTGATCTAAATTACCAAAAAACATTAATTTTTGAAATAGTTTTTTTTCTTTTGTATTTACCCTGTTGTATTTGTCTCCATTTAATCCGAAGCCTACTAAATCATTTATAAGATATGAAAGAAATAAGTGCTTATATTTTGTCTTTGTATGAAAAGATAAATGTTATCAAAAATATTAATGTAAATATTTTTATAGGATTCCTATCCAATAGGTGAAGGTGGTGTAGGACAAGGCATAAATGAATTTGATGGTTTAACATCTACGCCAACAACAAATCGTCAAAATCATGTGATGAAAAATGTTATTGAATCAAAGAAACTTCAACATAGTATTCAATTACTTAAAATTGAATTAAATCAACGTGATCTTTTAATACAAAATTTAAAAATTCAACATGAAGAAAAATGTGAAGATTTACAAGAGAAATTAGCTGATATGACATATCAACGAGAAATATTACAAACAAAACTTAATTCACAACTTCAAGTATAAAACAATTTCATAAAATAAAATCTTTTTTTGATTTTATTGTTTTTTTAGATCGAACGTGAATTAACAGTACGTTCACAAGATGAAGTTCGTCAACAATTATCACAAATTATGGAAAGACAACATCAATTAGAAAATGTTAATAAACGTTTAATATCAAAATCTAATGAAATAAGACATAATTTACAAAATAAAATTTTACCAACAGATGAAGAATATAAAATTCTTAGATCAACAGATATGAATTCTGAACAGATGTCACTTAAAGATTTTATTATGGTATGATATTTGAATAGAAAAAAAATAGTCATGTATATATTTTTTTATTTAGATAAAATTTTATGAAACAGTACGACCAATAGAAATTGAAGTTGATAATTTAAAAAGAACACAAAATATATTAAATAATCAATTATCAGCAAATGGACAAGATCTTATACAAACACAAAAAGTAAATAAACAAAATCTATGATTGAGTTTATACAGTACGGTGTAAAAGTATCACGACTAATAGTTATTTCCAGGTTCTCGGCAAGTAGAGTTCGGCAGGACTGTCTCTTACCCGATTCCAATCCCGTCGGGAGCGAGAACAAAATCCCGACTTTTCGCTCGACGAGACGATCGAGACTGGAATGAAAAAACCTGATCCTGCCGGACCCTATCGGCAAGACATTTGAGGATTGACATCGAGACTATTTGACGATCAGTGAATCGTTTCAGATGTCTTTTCCGCAGATACTGCTTCGGTCTTCAACTTCAGCATTTGGAATCAATACCGATCGTATTTTGTAATTTACATAGCTATATATACATCTCATCATATTTTCTAAAAAGTTCTCGAAAAATCTCTTCGGAAACTTTCAGACGTATGCACACAATCTTGATATAATTCTGATACCCATCAAACAGTGATAATCGATTTTATCTCGATTATAAAATCTAAGTTTTAATGGTTATTCAAGACCTTCGTTGAGAATAGATTAAAATGTATTTTTATTTCAAGGCTTTAGATGAAGAACGTCGATCATCACATATTGTTCATATGCAACTACAAAAAACAACAGCTGAATTAAATGAATATAAAAATCTATGTGAACAAGCTGAATTTAAAAAACAAAATTATGATCGAATTAAATCGTAATTTATCGGCAAAAAAATATTTTATTTCAATATTTTTTTTGTAGAGAACGTGATCAATATGAACATCGTATTGTTGAACTTGATCGACAAATAACACAAAATGAATTACATATACAAACACATATAAAAGAAAAAGAAAATTTACTTCTTCAAGTATATCCTATAAATTTAAATTTGTTATTCAAATTCATTTTTCTTTTAAATAGTCTGCTGAATCACGACAAGAAATTACTGTTCTCCGACAAGATAAAGAATATTTAACACGACAATATAATGATATACAACATAAATTTTATTCAACTGAAGAAAAAATTTCATCACTTGAAGCAGCTCTTGACGATACAAAACGAGCTAAAGAAATTCTATATGAAAAATATATTTCAACCAGGTATTGACAAAATTTTTCTTACACCTGTACAATTTATTTCTATATGATTGTACTTCTAGAGATGCATACAAGAGTGAATATGAAAATAAATTATCTATTGAATTAGAACAACTTCGTTCGAAAACAACAGTTGAAATTGAAAAATTACGTGAAAATATTAAACAAATGTATGAAAGAGAAAATCGGTAAGTTATTTAATTTTTATATTTTACTTTTTGTTTACATTTTTTTTCTTAATAGATCATTTCAACATGCACGTGATGAAGCTATAGCTGAACGTGATCGACATGTTCAACTTGAACGAGATTTACAACGAAAATATGATGAAGTATTAACTGAGTAAGATAGAATTTATTGTTGATATGAATTTCTAAGAAATATTTTAATAGATCTCGTCAATATCAAAGTACTAGTGAAGTTCGTTTAGGTGAATTACAATCTGAATTAAAATTAAGAACATTTGAATTTGATCGTTTACAATTATTATACGAAGAAAATTTAAAATTATTAAAAAATACCCAAAATGAAACTGAAAAATTACAAAAAAAAACTGATGTTTGTTATTTGATAAAATATTATTTCTTGAATCATATTTTTTTGAATTTTATTAGTTAATACAAAAAGAATATTTTAATTTACAAGTTCAATCGGATCGTCGTGTCATGGAAATTGATACTGAACTAAATGATAAACGAACTAAATTACAAGTTTATGAAAAAGTTGAACAAGAATTAGATGAAGTTGTTATGCAAGCTGCACAAGGTAATCAAATAGAAGATATGAAGGATGTGGGTGTGGGCATAGAGTAGGGTCCGGTGAATTGTATTCACAGAAAATGATAGCGACATCGAACTTTCCGAAAAAAAAATATTTTGCCGGGATCGCGATGAAAAAATTCGATCCCGCCGGACCTCAGTATAGACACAAAATACCCTCCTACACCTGCATGTTATTTCATTATCTACGATTAAAAATATCATTCTAATTTCTCTTATTTAATTAGTTGAAAATGATGGTGATGCAAATAAAATTTTGTTTTCCTATGGTTATGGTGCATCGTTACCAACATCAGCCAAACGACGTCTTCAACATTCAGTTCATTTAGCTAAACGTGTTATTCAACTTGAACAAGCGAATACATCATTACGTTTAGAATTAGATCGTGAACGAAAACAAAAATCTAATATTCATCATGAGGTTTGAATCGTTTGTATTTATTTTATGTTATTTTAAGTGATAAAATTTTAGTTGGAAAATGCAAATAAAATATTAGATCAAGCTCAACAGCCTTATGATTTTCTTATTGCAAGTATACGTGATAAAGATGTACAATTAAAAAAAATACAAGACACTATTGATGATCTTGAAAAACAACTTAAGTATGTTTGATTTATTTTTAATTAAAGAAAATTTGAATGACTTTTATATAGAGAATCAGAAAATGATCGACAATCATTGATTAAAACAAATAATCAATTAACAAAAGATATTGAGAAATTATTAGAATATCAAGAAGTAATTTATTTTTGTTAGCGAAAATAAAATACAAATTTTACATTTATTATTTAGCCATTAAAAGTAATGAAAAGTGTTATTATGAATTTACAACATGGAGAACCACAAAAAGCAACAACTCATCGTTCACCATCTCCACCGTTCAATAATAAATATCGTTCAGTTACACCACCAACTCTTCAATCAAAACGATCAGTTAGTTTTACTGATCCATTTAGCCAACATAATAATCCACCACCAATGGTTTTTGTATGTTAAAAATTCTATTCTTTATATATATATATGTTAATCTTTGTTTTATAGACATCGACAAGTAATGCTAGAAGTCCTTCATCAAATATCAATCGAGGTCCATCTACATCCCAACAAGGAAAATATCGAAAAATATATAAAGTGACAAATAATTAACTTATCCATTTTTTTTTAATATTTGGTAGCGAAATGATTTTATGTTCGTCGTTTTTTTCATTAGTTGTATTCTCTGTTTTATATGTGTAATTAATTAAAACATATGTAGAAAGATTTTTCTAATATTTCATATTAGAGTAGTAAACGTATGCTTTTGATTTCTTGATCTAAGTTAGTAATACTAAAGCAGATTAAAATTGATCGTGATAATCTCTTGAAAAGGATTTGTTTATCGAGTAGAAGGAAAAGTTTATGTCACGTTTCGCAAAAGAGTTGCATATCAATTAAACATATCGTGTAAGTAACGAGATATATAGAGTAAGAAGCTCTCGGTTTCAGTCATCTCAATTGCAATTAATTCCAGTATTTACATCATCAAGATCGAATATATTTTACATTGAATATGATCATATCAGAGACTGAGAGTGTAGATATATCTCTAGTCTTCTGTTATGACTGATAATAACTAAAGATCTGAACAAGAGCTAACTTCCGATACATTGATAAAAACGATTTTTTTTCTGATAGGAACATTTACTGTAACAGCGAAATTAATACAGTTGGAATATACAGTCGATCGTGCGATGCTATTAGAATAAATTTTTAATTTGACAAAAGATCTTTGAAAAAGACTCTAAACAACACTTAAATCAAAATCGATAATATATTATTTGAAATGCGTCATGTTTTTGTATCAACAATATCGCATCTATTATTTAATATTTTGTGTAACATCTTGATAAGCTGGATTTACAGTGTACGGATTATACACGGACGTATTTGATGGATAATTAAGAGAAGTACTCGATGGATAAAGCACTCTTTGATCATTCACTATTGGTACTATAATTGTTTGATTTTTTTGTTTTTGTTCACGGTGACATACAATAACATAAATCCAATATATAATCAATATTAAAGAAATAAAAGTCACTTTTATAAATAAATGATGTATAATTAATCAATAAACTATAATAAAAAAAAACTTACTCTTTATAATACCATCTAAAAAATGATATAAATCTAATGTTTAAAAATATAACATATATATATATTTGATTTACTTATTTTAAGTATATGATATGAATCTCTCACATAGTTCATGCATAGTTGACCACTATTTTGTAAAAGAAAAAGATAAGATAAACCATTCTTTTTTTCAAATCATTACTCACTGGTATTTGTATTTGAGGCTTTCAGATTTGTCCATCAAAAAAATCTTAATACAATTGTCATAAAATTTAGGGTAAAAATAAATTTTTTCTTCATATGTTAAATTTTTATTATCAATACCACAACATTTACTTTGTTTTATAGTATTATAAGCCGTATATAAACTTAGATCATCTGGTTCTTTTACATATAGATAGGTTTTCATTAATTGATAAAATATTTCACGACTGTTATCCATAAATACATATAAACAACGAATTTCATTGATAAAAACGAGTAAAATAATTGCTAAAAATCAAAAAGAAAACGTCGTATTTACTATCTATTAAATAAAACATACTGGTAGCAATAATAAGAAAGAAAAATATTGTTTTGGCATTGCTTGTTGTAAATAAAACAATAAATAAAATGATTCGTACTATAAATAAAATCAGTGCCATTAAAAAATTGCCAGGTGTTAAAGACGGCCAAATTAATTCAAAATAATATAATTGTATTGTTAGGAAAACTGATAAACATAGTAAAATACTTAAAATAACACGCAATGTACCAATCATTATTAAACGAATAACTAAATATTAAAATTAAATGAAAGTAATAGTATTACCGCCTTTTATTTTTCAATTACTTTAAATTTTGTTGATGATTATTTAAGATCTCATTCAACTTCGTTTTATTTTATTTCAAAAGAAATTAATTATTATAATTAAAAAAATTTCTTTAGAGACATATGCTTTTATTAATATCGAATCTGTCAACACGACCACTGCCATAATTCAAAACAAACACATTTCCATTTTCATCAAACGCTATATCATGTGGTTGACTAAGGGTATATTGTTTTTCTCCAATAATAATCGTACCATCAATAGTATCCTCTGGTGTCCAACGAATAATTCTGTTATAATATCCATCGATTGAATACATATTTCCTGACTGACTAACACGAACTATTCTAGGCCAACGTACTTTACCCGAAACAGTGCCTTCTTTTGCATCTTTTTCCCATTTAACAACTCTATCATTAGCAAAATCTGCTATATAAATATCCTGCTTATGATCAATAAAAAGACCTAAAGGATTATGTAATTGATCAAGTCGATTGCCCTTGCCATTATTTCCTGCTACTATGCCATCATGTGTTAAGTTTTTTCCCAATATCCATCGGCTAACACGATGATCGTCATATTCAGAAATGTAAAGTAAACCTTGATTATCTAATGCTAAACTGCCACAATAAAGATTATTAATAAGTATTTCACTTTTATCAGAATGTTGTGACCATCGAACAATTCTTCGATTTGTACCATCACATATAATTAAACTTCCATCGTTTGGATCTTGTACCATACCTGATATCTAATAATATATATTTTGTAAGAAATATAAAATCTATGTCTTTTTCTATTTACATACCCAACCTAATTGATCAGTTCTATTGCCTACACCATTCCCTTCAAATACAAGTGATCCATTTTTTGCACCTAATTCCCAAGTAACCATTCGTGCGTTTCCATAATCGGCAATATATAAAGTATTCGTTTTTGAATCTAATACAAAAGAAGTTGGATTTCGAAGTTGATTTAATGCTGTACCAATATAAGTACTTCCAGCAACAGTTACACCTTGTTTCGTCCAGCTTACATTAGCACAAAGCTCTGCTAATGGTATAGGTGTTGTAGTAGATGGTTGTGTTGCTATTAAATTCAAAAATAATTCATCGATAAATACAAATCTTTTTTTTTTACTTAAATTTTGTACGAATGGAGGACACATATCTAATGAAGTCATACCAGTCGGATAACACAATAGTCGACTCATTGATAAACTTGGATGATGAACACACATAGTATTCGGTTGATCACAATAATAATTATTTGTATTACATGTTCTTAAGGTTGAAGGATTCAAATGAAGATAAGCACAAATTCCGCTTTGACCATCTACAGATGAAAAAGGAAGACATCCACAATCAGGATTCGTTGAACAACGAGCATACATCGGTAAGTTTCCACATGATTGACCTATTGTCACAACTAAACAATACAAAATTTATTAATCAAAAAAATAAATAAACCAAAGAACTATACCAAATAAACTAAATAAAAGAAAAACAAAAGAGTGTAATATTCAAAAATATATTTAGTAAAAATATTTACCTTTGAAAAACAATCAAAATTGATATCATTCTTACTTTTACAAAATGATTACATACAGCACAAAGAATCAATTCAATTTATCCTTGGATTATTTTCTAGTTATTTGATACTTATCACACAAGAAAAATAAATCCCATCGTCATATTCGATTTCATCATGATGATATAGGTCGAAAATCGAGAATAAAAAAAACGCTCTATCATCATTTGGATACGATGCGTATTAAGAAATAAAATTCACATATTTTTGTCATCATCAGTAACTATCATGGAGATATTAATATAGACATTTATTTTATAAACGAGAGAAACAATAAAACAAAAATTGATCAAGTATAATTACTAATCTTCATCATCGGCATCTTCTAGAATTGGATATTGTTTTTCATAGCAACTCTGACAAATACAATCAATATGATTACTGGAGGAACATGCATGTAATGTAACATATCGTCGTCTAATTGCATTATTACAAATTGTACAATGATATATAATTGTATCTTTATTTTGAGGACGTGTTGCATATGAACATCGACTATATAATTTTAAACATTCTTTATGCATTGTATTTCCTTGATTAATAAAACTGAGAAGAAAATCTATTTGTTTGGATTGATCTTCTAATATTTGATGAAGTTCATTTTGAATTTTAAGTGATGTATCTAATTTATTACGAAGAACATCAATAATTGGTCGCATCTGTTGAAATGGACATTTTTTTTCATGTAGATTTTGTTTATCTCTTGGTCCTTTCCATGAACATTTAATATCAAATGATCGACATGATACGATCTTTTTCGGACATTTTGATTCATGATCTCGAAAATTTCCACGTTCAATATTACTCTCACTGCATTGATTACATCGAACAAGTAATCGATTAAGTTGATTATTTATAATATGTGTATTGATTGGTAAGAGATTTTCATCTTCATCAATTATTGATGATTGTCGACATGAAGGACATGAATGAACTTTATTTAACCAAGTTTTAATACATTGACGACAAAATGTATGTTTACATATAAGACTAACTGGTTTTTGAAAAGGTTGTGTACATATAGCACATTTAAGTTCATCATCAATTTTAGTTTCATCCATATATTCATAAGTATTCTTAGTAGATTTTGAAGCAGTCGCCATTTTTTTTAAATGCCAAAAGAAAATGATTTTTTCTATATGTTATAGTATCACTCATATATATCTCTTTTTTTCTCTTTCTCTTCCGTCATACAGATGACATATACGGGATTCTCTCTTTCTGCTTTCGTCATCTTTTTATATTTTTTCTGACTCGTTCACTATATATGCTGGATCGTTTGGGAGATAAAGGTGATATTTTAGTTTCGATCAGTTAAATCAATTCTTTTGTTAAGGTTATACTATCGGTTTTAGTCTTTACTTCCTACATCATGTTATAATTTATCTCTATCGACCTTTTTCTTTCACAGACGAGTAGCTAGAGGGTATGTTTTGTATTGAATACAATGCGATTCTCAATAAGAAAAAAACAGATTTCTATCAAAAGTCATTATATACCAGCTGTTCGATATTGACCAGTTGTTTCCTTTTCTTTCATATACATTATGAAAGTGCATCTATCTTTACGTCAGTACTCATCGAATGTTATTCAAAAGAAAAATAGGGTATTATATATTTGATGCTGTACTAGTAAAAGATAGATATGATTTTCAGTTTCTTTTTTTTATCATGATAATAATAATCATCAAAACAAAATATTCTTTCTTGTTTATTAAAATGAAAATAAAAATAAAGTCAATGTCGATCGTTATAACCAGTAAATTCAAATGTGTAATTCATATTTGGATTATAATTACTGTGACCATGTTGATTTGCTTTATTTATTGTTCTATAACTATGTAAAACTTTTTTTCCTCTATTATCTTGTTCGATTTTTTTTAATTCATCGTGACCAATAATTTTTTCCAGAAGAGAAATATCAACATCAGCTAATGGTTGCCAACAAAAATTCGACATTTGATTATTATATAATCGAGAATATCCAACTGTATTCGTTAATAGAGCAATTAATTTTTCTTTAATCAATACATTATTTTCCTCTGTTTGTGGTAAAATCATAAAATTTTTAATAGATTCAGTAAAAACTGGACCACAACGTTTTGGACAATATTTTCTTAATAGACCAGCAAAACCTTCTAATGTTTTTGCTGTTAAAATTTTATAAGTAATAATACGAATAGTTTCTGGTGTAAAATTAAATATTGTTGAATTATCACGATTTCCTAAAAAGTTTATTAATATAATTTATAATAGTTACATAAATAAATTACCTTGAAGTTTTTCATCAATCATATTTAATACATTTGATTTAGTTATATTGATTGGTACAAAAGGATCAAAATATAAAATCATTAATAATTCTTTTCGTAAATCATCATAATCAAGATGATTTTCAATATAATTTTCATCAAGTTCACAATATTTTAACATATTTTTAATAACAGTAGGAACACCTAAACTTAATTGATTATCAATTGATTGTAAAATAGTTTTTATATATTCAATTTCAGCTTCGGTAGTAATAAGTTTTCTATCTTCACCTGTAGTTGTTTCAGGAATTAATTCAATTGGTTTACACATTTCATCATGAAAATATTTAATAAAACTTTGTTCAACATAATCAGGATCTTGATTTATATCAAAACCACTTGTATTGGTATTACTTGCGACTGTTTTTACACGTTGACTTTCATCACCATATAATAAACGATCAATAATAAGATTTTTATCTACTGGCATTTTCTTACGTAAACATTGTCGAAGATATTCATAATAAACAGGCATAAGAATACTTTTAAAATCATTTTTCAAATATCCAATAATTAATGGTATACTTAAATCATATGTTCCATTTTGTCGTCCATGAATACTTGCAATAAAATTCTCATAAGTTTTCTCACCATAAGCAGATTTAAAACCAATGGATTCAGTAATAATAAAATGACAAACTTTCTCCAATTCTTTTATTATTTGTTTATATCTCGATGTACCAGTACGTTGCATAATAATATCATAAAGTAATTTAAGTAATCCAATTTCTTGTTGTTTATCATAACCATATGAATCTAGAGTAAACATATAACCTAACCAAATACCTTCTAAGATTCTTATACGTTTCATATGTTCATAATTAATATAAAGTGGTATAACAGCATTAATTTTTTCATGTAATTGTCCAACAACACAATAAGCATCGTTAATACCATTAAATTGTCCATATTTATTATCATTTGTTTGTGTAGTTTTTGCTAAATTCATTGCAGCAATAAATGAATCATATGAAATAATTGTATTTGATACATTAATTAATTTTAAACCTTTTGTTGGTGATGTTATTGCTTCTTCATTACGTTCTATTAAAATTCCTAAACACATTATATTATCAGATGTTTTTCTCATCATTTCATATATATCATCATTGGAATAAGTACAAATCCAATCTGGTTTTTGTTGTTTTATATCATTCCAACCTTGTTGATCAATAGATGTTTTATAACCATCTAATATACCACTTATATCAGTTTTACGAAAATAATCAACATTTTTATTAATACGTAAATCTAATTTTTTACGTCGTTGTGCATTAGCAAATGTAGCATCATGTCTTAATGCACTTAATTTTAATTTCACTTGTTCAGGTACTTGTCCCATTTTAATTTGTGTAAATAAATTTGTATATTCCATCATTCGTTCATCAATTTCATTTTTAATCTGTTCTAATTCTAATTTCTCTGTAAGATTCATATTTCCTGTTGGAATAATTGAATAAAGATATGTACGAATTTGTTGAACAGATTCTTTATCATCTGGTGAAATTAAATTTAATGCTCGAACAACTTGAAGTGGACTTATATTTTCTTTTAATTCCAATGGAACTTTTAATTCACCATCAGATGATCGAACTATTATTTCATTCGTTATTGTATTATCAATATTAATATTATTAATTAAAAATCCTACTGTTTCTTCATTACTATTTGCTGTATATGATTGATTATTAATAACAATTGTATATTCTTTTGCTGACATTGCATATTCAAACATATCATTAAAATTATTTTGTAATTCAGCTGATTGTGTTGAATATCGAAATAAACCTTCTTTCGTACCAAGTTTTCGTACTTCATCTAAAAAACTATTATTTACATCACCAAAACCAATAACATGAAATATAATTGTAACAGTTTTTGCTAAACCTTTGATAGTTAAATTTAACATTGTCATAGCTCGTTTTAATGCATCTTTAGAATCCGTATCTTGACCGTCAGTCATAAAAATAAATGTCGTTGATTTTTGATTATTAATTAAATGATTTTGTATAGCTGTAAAAACTGAACTAAAACTAGTTCCACCATTTGCATTTAAATCTTGATTTTCAACAGATTTTATTGTTAATTGTGTATTAGCTGTTGTATTATATGTAAATAATGGATATTCAATTTTTGTACGTTTATATATATCACGTAAAACTTCACAAACATTACGAATTGGACTACCACTCATTGAACCAGATACATCAACACAACAAATTATATTATTAGTAGATGATGTTTCATTTTTTGGTACTTTTACTTCAATGTAATGATGATGACCATTAATATTAAATGGAGTTTTGAAATAACTAGCCATTTATTAAATTTATCACAGAAATTTTTTTTATCTAATTTAACGAAAACTATCATACTATATATATATATCAAAAGATGACAATAGGGAAAAGACCTTTCGTATATATAGGTCAATAGAAGAACGAATGGAAAATACCAAATAGATGTTATATGAACGAAAAGAAAAATATCGAATAAAAATGTACATCTATATATTTAAGTTTAAGAACAATATTATGATATGTTAATATCCAAAGATAATAGGGGATTTTTGTAGCAGAATATCTGTTAGTCAGCAGGATAGAAAAAACCACTGAAGATTAGATATAACTAATAAAAAAACAGGTACTTTAAATATCTTATAGTACACTTAAAGAATATTAGAAAAAAACCTCTATCTCTCTATGTTATTTCATCATACTTTACATAATATCAAGGTAACAAACTTTCGATAAAATCCTTTTGTAAGTTTTCATTGTGATCTTCAACTGCTATAAAAATGCAGCTCAAAAAATTCTACAATATACATAGGATGAACTATTTTCCAGTTGTATTTTTTTCCCGAAACATAACGGATCTATTTTTTGTTATTTCATTGTTTTATCACCGATATACACTAGTATATACAGCTTAAAAACTATGATCAAACATATTTACTTTACACGCAGGTTAAAAAGAAAGTTAAGCAAGCGATGACATATATTTTGCGTTCTCTCATCATTATTTTTACGATAGAGTGGAAAGAAAGATGACTCATATTTATTATTGACAGAACAACATAGTTTGCTATTGCATACTTTTTACTCACACAAAAAAACAAAAGTCTTTGACGATTAATAAAACAAACAATTGTTATATTTGTAAGTAAATTTTTCTTATAATAAGATATATTCTTCTATATGAACCACATAAAATTATAATTAGTGTACTAAATAAAAAGAAATATTCTACTTACACACCGTTGTGAAATATATTACTTTTCATCAACTGTGTAATGAAAAATTTTCTCTCGATTTATAAGAAATATTCTTACACAATCAAAGGAAATTTCAAAATATTATGCAAGAACAAATAACACACTGGATTTTTCTTTGTTATTAATTAGAGTAGATATAAGCAACAAGAATATTAATCTTTTTTTTATGTTACTTTATGTCATTGATTTTCTCAGAAGTAATTTAGATGATAATTTATCGTGTATTTTTATTTTCATTATAGGTGGAGTTTTTTTTATTTTGCGATTTATAAAAAGAAAAGGAAGACAGAACAGAAAAAGTTTATTCCGGGTATTTTTCTCTTACGTTCTATCGTGTATGTTAACGTATGTTGGAAAAAACCGTACTTTAACAAATAGATATAAAACCCAATGAATCCACATATTCGTTACGTGTAGTTTGTGGTAACAAACAGGAACTTGTCAAATTTTGTTTTTCGAAATAGTTTTTCAAGCTAATGAGCTTATTTTCTTCTGTCTAAGAATGCGTTAAATAGTATATTATCGAAGATATGTATTTTTTTATTAAAAATTTATAATTTTTAGATTAATAATGGCACAGACTGTTTCACCAGTAATATATTCTCCTAACGATCAACCGGAACTTGTTCATCCAAATCACTTTATTATTTGGTTAGATCAACATATTGGACAACGTGATGAATATCATAAATTAAAACGTTCTTTTACTCGTGCAATGAATCCAAATGATCGACTGTATGAAGGCAGTCTCGTCAATGACAATATTAATCGCAGTATTCTCGACAATGACGATATTGATCGTAGTATTCTATTAGATACACCTCTTCTCGTTCAACTTGATGATGTTGAATTTATGTTTCAAGCTTTCAATGATATTGAAAAATGTTTTAACATTATAGAAAAAAATCTTGACAAACGTATTTTTCTTATCACATCTGGTTCAAAAGGAAAATTTCTTATACCAAGTCTCGTCATAAATTTTCCAAAAATATTTAAAGAAGGAAATTGGATGTATGTATTTTGTGCTAATATGAATATGGTACAAGTTGGAGATATAAAGCCAACGAATGCATGGGCAATGCATTATCTAGATCGCATTTTAATGTTTGATCATGAAGATAATCTATTAGCTCGTATGGTATTGGATATGGCAAGTTATTTTACAACAAAAGCCAATGATCTTAAAAATAATCAGCGATATAAGGATGCTTATCAATATCTTACTTGGTCGAGACAAATGCACAAACGATATGGACTTCTAACACATAGAAATATGACTGATGAATTGAAGAAAATTGATCAAGAAATTGATACTTTTAGACAGGAATTAAGAGAAGGACGATCTGCCGATGATGAAGATGGTTATGGGGAAGCATGTGGTGATTAATTATCTGTTAGAATATGTTTTTATTTTATTAGCTTATTTTATTTCATGTACTAAATAAAATAATACTTATTGGCTCAAATTAACTAATTTCTAAGAAATTTCGGTTCTGTTATACTCAAAAATTCAATATTTGCCAGAAAATGATGACAAACTTTCCTAATTATCAAACAAATCTATATAAATTTGAACAAAATACTAAATATATTTTTCTACAGTAATTATCTGTATTAAATTTTATATACAAATATTTTAGTATTTATTTCGTAGAATTCTACATCGTTTATTAAAGTTGACAATTGAATGCAAAGAAAATCTAATAAATAATTTAAAGAATACTTTTCAATATTTCGAATTTTATGTTATTAACTAACGATTAACAAATAGATTTTATGAATTTATGCAAAAAAAAAATTCTCTTGAAAATACGTGAATGAATTTATATTCTTTTTAATGCTATAGTAAAATAGCATGATGTGTAATCTTACATTCTATACTTTTATTCAACACGTGGTGATGCATACATAAAGAAAAGAAAGAAAGAAGAAAAATATTTGCTATACGTCACTATTGTGAAGGGTTGTTTTTTTCCATCGTTTCTTTTATTAGAGGCAATTGTGAAGATATAAATATAATACATTTGAATTCATTTCAAATCTTTATATTTAACTAAAAATTCGAATTATGTCGACAAATAATAATGAACAACTGTTAGCTGCAGCACTTTCAACAATATTAGGCAAAGAAATTCTACCTGAATCAAGTGTACCACAACAATCACAACAACATATAAGCAAAGTTTCATTATTTGATCAACATTTAACATCATTTGTCTATGGAAAAGTTGGAATAGATGACAGCACTAATGATAATTTATTTATAACATTACATATTACAATTGTAGCAAATCAAAAAACGTTTCAATGTCAAATTGAACGTAGTGCAACTGTTACTAAACTAAAACAAATTGTCTATGAAAATGAAGGTATAACATGTGATAAACAAAATTTAATTTATTGTGGAAAAGAAATTGACGAAGGTCATGTATTAAGTGAACATGATATTCAAGATTCCGGTGAAATATATGTTGTACGTTTAAGAGCTATGAATTCAAATGATCTTCTAGTATTAGATAAAAATTCATTGGATACACCTTATGATTATGATTTTACTAATGTTGATGATAAAGGAAAAAGTTTTACTCGCGGTGGTTTTGAATATCGTCGACCATGTGGCTGGAAACGTTTTGCAATTAAAGTTGCTGGAAAATTTGGAAATGAAGTATGGCTTGGATCAAATAATAGTGCTGGTGAATGGCCAGTATCATATCATGGAACAAAACATGATGCTGCAAAATCTATTGCACAAACTGGTTATGATCTAACAAAACATAAACGTTTTGCTTATGGACGAGGTATCTACTCGACACCTGATATTAATGTAGCAAAAGCGTATGCTACCACTTTTACTTGTAACGGAGAAGAATTTTATGTTGTGCTTCAGAATCGAGTCAATCCAAAAACTTTAATCAAAGTCGATGATACACATGGAGTCAGAGATTATTGGATATCACCTGGTACTGATGATATTAGACCCTATGGATATTGTATAATGAAGAAAAAATAATATATTATAAAATGTTTCATATTTTTATCTTTTCAGTTCCACACATGTAATGATTTATAAAACTGAAATAAAATGTTGTTTCTATTTTAGTATTTTATGAGTTGCTCTATACAATATATCTAAGTATCTCTATTGTATAAATGACAACTTTTATAATAATACAAATGATTGATATGTTAAAAATTTCGTAGGAATTAAATTTCAAAATTTTTCAAATAAACATTTAGATAAGTTCTGCCGATTCTACAAGCAACTTGAATCAATTAATATTTTATCTTTTCTATTATTTACTTAAGATCAAGATCCAATATAATATAAATAAAATGACTTTTTTTTAATTTTAAACAGCTATTTATGTATATTCATAGCTTATTATCACATATAACTGTTTTTACTATACGTTAAGACTAAAAGTTATACATACCAAGGATTTTTATGTAAAAAATATGAAAGAAAAAAACTTATTCAATTTTTTGCAAAACTGTAATGGGTGTGGGTGTGGGTGTGGGTATCTTTTCATCACTGTATGCTCACCCACATCCTCAAGATCAAATATGTTTGAAAAAATGATTCATTATTTAAATTGAATTCTATGATAAAAATTTTATAAAACTTTTAACAAGCCATATTTGTAAAATAAATTGAAATTATTATAACATATATCTGTATTGAAAATATTTGTCAAATTAACTTTTTCTGAATTTTTTATTAGGAAAAAAAATATTTGTTAAATTAACATTAAATAATATATATATTATGATAAAAATAAATAAAAACAATGAAAAAGATAGTTAATTAATAATATGAATTTAGTTCAATATATTTATTTATTTATATAAATTTATTAAAACTTATACAAAGTTAAAAAGTAAATTTTCTATTAAAATAAATGAAAAAGAGAAAGTTTCTTCTTTTTCAAGATATTCAAACTGTTCATTTAATCTGTTATCTGTGTGAGTGAATATTCCGTTTTATCCATCTTACATCCATACGCATACAATGAAAATTAATATTTTCTTGTGTGTGAATTAGTTGGTGTATGTTGTTATTCTATACCAAAGCGAATTTCATTTTGTAATAGTGTAGGATGCCGTTTCAAATATCTATATGAAAGATAAGTACATTAAATCATAAAACAAGTAACATATTTATCGTTCAGGTCAAATGTTGAACTTACTCAACGAACGGACGAAGAGTGTAATATCGGTCATGTTTATCTCTTGACATATCTTCAAGTATTGTGCATAATTCAAACCACTTACAGTTCTAAAATAGTATAGTAATAAATATTGAGATATTTTATTTCTTTTGAAACAGCTATAAAAAAACATGCAGTATTACTTGATTTTCTTTTTTATCCAATAGTTCAATGTTAAACTTATTCTCATCGATATGAATAACAAATAGTCCAACTTGACGTCCACAGTTATTGTTATTCATTTTTATAAAACATTCTAGATATAAACATGTATCCAATCGAAAATATTGGTCGATGTCGTGTAGTGTAAGTGTTTTGTTTGAATTTATTAATTTAATTTTGAGTTCTTCACATATCTCGCGTAAACATGTTTCTTTTGGCGTTTCCCACTCATCATTAGCTTTAAGCTCTGAATGACCTTTAGGTGCGCTCCAAGTGCCTTTGTGATTCTGCACAGCAAAAATCTATAATTTTATAATTTTTTTTGATGAAAATACAAATTTTTTTATCTACTTGTTGTTTCGAATTAATAATTAGAGCACCATACGATGGAATCTTCAATGCTGCTTCAGTTATGTATTGAAGTATTTGATTTCTATATGTATGTCCATACTGCATAGTTGTTACTGAAGACGATTACGATACAAATTTATTAGAAAAATGTAGATCTAATTTACTTACCATGTTCTTTAAAGTATTCTTGTAATAACCTATCTGCACACATACTATTTGTTGAGTTTTCTTTATGTACTACCAAATTATTATACTCAGCCCAATATTGTGTTTCGAGATCCATAATTTCTCTTATAATGTTACATACTGTTTTTCGATCAACATCACGAAACACTCTTTAAAATAAAAAAAAATAAAATATTTTAGTTATTATTCATGTAAAAAAATTATATAGAGAATAAAATAAATTCTACATAAATGAATAGTCTAGATATAAGACTAAAAGTTTTAGTATCCTATAATGAATGAGAAAATCAAATTCGATGAATTATTATTTACTTACTTAGCTACAGCTGAAGGAAATTCATAACTTTGACTTGGTGTTTTTTCAACGCATCTAAACAAATATATATTAATGTGGTTTCATATTTAAATTTAAGATTAAGAAATTCTTTTTCTAATTTTTATGGATTTTATTATTAGATGCAAAAAAACATCCTCATACTTTATAAATGTCTTTCTAGCACAGGAAATCATTGACATTCTTTTTTTTCGAAAGTTATAAGTTTGAAGATGATCTTCTGTTGAGATTAAATTCAATTCTAACTGTTTATTTTCACTCACTTATTGAATTTAACTTCATTCACACTAGGATTAATAAAACTTATGCGATCAGCATATAATTTTGTATTGTGGCTGAATGGTATTTCGTTTTTAAAGGTTTTGGCAAATGAATTTAATTCAAATAATATGAATTTATTAATATTTCGTTCATCATATTGATTTAATTCATTTGATGAACATTCTGTATCCGTTTCTTCAACACCTAATTTCTCATCATCACGGGGCTCCATGCAAAAATCGTAGACATCTTGAAAAAATACAGACATATAGTTTATGAAATGAAAAATGTATGATGTTCACTTACACTCTATTTGTTTAGCTAAAAAAATAAATTTAAATATTCGAATTTTTTTCAATATTAAATTTAGAAATTATTCATTACCTTTAATAGTGAATTTCTCATACGAAGGTGGCATTTCTTCATGGAAATAATTGCTGAGTGTTCTCTCTACATGAAAAATTTAAAATAAACATCGAGCTATTATTTCAATATTTGCTTTCAGCGTTTACTACTTGTTTAGTATTGTCAATTATATTTACCTTTATGTTTTGGCATGTTTTTGTAATGATTCACCGTATTAAAATAAATATATAAAGATCATTAACTATTATAAAAATGAAGTTTTCATCCATGGATCTATTAAGAACTTCATAACTTTGCAAAACCAGTGCTTTATTGTTTTTATAAGGTGAGTAATAGTGTATCTAGTCACTGTTTTTAAGGATTGGCTGTAAAAAAGATCGAAACAAAAAATGTCGACGTCATAAACGTTGAAAAATAAATATCGAAGTCATTTTGATCGAAAAAAAAGATGTCGACCACATAAAATGTCGAAAGTTTCTAGATGTCATCGTCAAACTATTGTTTTCTGTCTTAATATTATTCACTAAACTTTCACTGATTAGTAAATCATTTAATCCAATAAATTATTGTGTAAACGAGGGTGTGGGTGTGGGTGTGGGTGTGGATGTGGATACCGATATTGTATTCAAGTAGCACCCACACCCGCACCCACACCCATTTTTGAAACCAATTTGACGCTGATTCGTTTCCTATTATAGCTGAAATAAAGATCAGTTTGAAGGTTTTGTAGAAGATCTGACAAATTTGTTTTAATAGAGTTATTGAATAATTCTCATTAAAAATATTTGTGATCAAACATACTGTGACGATAGTATGTGTTGCTATTTACCATATGTAATAACATTGGCATTTACGTTCTCACAAAAAAATAAATTATTTCTAAATATTTAAGAATTCAAAATAAGAAATCAACTATTTTATCAATAAATAGAATCATGATAGCACTAATAAAATAGAAGTTTTAATAAATACATGGAGAAAATAAAATATTTGTTCTATTTCTATGTTTTCTAATATATTCTAGATTTAATGGCATCATCTATCACTTGTAAACGAAAATTAGGAATAATTATTGGTATTAATCAACATTCATGTAATAATCCCTTACAATATTGTACAAATGATGCTGAAGATTTATCAGATACTCTTGAAACTATCGACTTCAAGATTTCAGGGTGTGGGTGTGATTATTTTTCTCTCATCTACATCCACACTCGCACCCACACTCTCAAGATCGTTTGAGCTGAATTACATTTTGAAATATCAGAATTATGTGGAAATGACATAAATTTTTCATTTATCTATTCTTTTCTACACTATATCAATTCTTGACTTATCTACTCACAATTAATTACATTTCGATCAGATAAAAATATATATTTTTCATCTAATCGATTTTTCAAACACGAACTTTATGCATGATGAACATTTGAATGAAAAACATCTATTTATATTCATACAATGCATTATACTATTTACTTCAATATTAAGATAACGGTAGAACATGTTATTAAAATCAATTAAGAAAAAAAACATTCTATAAAATAGCATTAAATAAATAAATCAAAATATAGATCGTCGACTGATTTATCGAGTTAAAACAAAATAATTACTATTTATTCAACTTCGATTCATCGACTTGTATAAAAATATAACAATTAAAAAAGTTTAGTTTCAAATGTCTTTTTCTGTACAGAATTTGTTTCCAATCGTTTCATATGATATACGAAATCTATTAATTACAATCGAGCATGTTGAATCTAGATGGATACAAATGATCTTTATTTCTGTCATGATAAGCAGTTCTAATGAAAGAAAAAACAATCCAAAAATTAATAAAACGTACATATTAAACCCCTATTAAAAATAGTGAGGATTGTTTGTTGACCGGATGTGAAGTGTTAGATGAGGGTAAGAGAAATATTGATCTATATGCCACTTTAGATACTGATATTATATTTTTAGATTATTCACATGTAAATTAATTCATACTTTTTTCTCTAATAATATTTGTTTCTTTAAAGTAGTTTTATGCAAACATTTTCTTTTAATCTTCAAAGATTTGTTTTTTGATAAAAAGCAATTTTAAATATTTACAAAAATAGATTTAAATTTATTATAAAATTCATAATATTTATTTTGAATTATGAATAAAAACTCATGTAAAAAGGGTTTGTTTTATTATAATATAAATATGTAATATGGTATATGTTTTTGAATAAATTTTTTTAGATCATATTTCTATTATTCAAGATTTTTAAACTGATGGATCATATTTCTATGTTTTCTTTTTCATGAGTATGTAATTCATACGATATTCAAGATATTTATTTTGAAAAAAGTACAGCGTATATTATTTGCATATTTACTTTTGATAAAAAGAAAGCCAAAAAACAACATTAACTTTTATGAATATCAGTTAACAAAGAACATCTTATATATGTACTGGTATCATGCATATTTATTTCACTTGTGCTTGAGAAAAATCTTTTGATCAATATTGAATATATGAAGCATTGAGTATATATATAAGTCGATTTCGATAATAAATTTTTTTTTCTTTTAATATCGATCAAGAGTCAGTTTGTATATGTTGAAAGTTTAAAAGGTAAAATGAAATTACAATTAATAATTATTTTACTAGCATATATACTCAATATTACTTTATGTATTGCTATTCGGTATGATTGTGATAGTAGAAATCGTTCATGTGGTTGTGGTTTTAAAAATGTTGAAATAAATGAAGAAAATAACAATCCAGAAGAAGCTATACCTTATAGTTGGTCTATGGTAGTTTCAATTCGATATGATTGTAAACAAAATGGTGATCCATCTACTCATTGTTGTAGTGGTACAATTCTTAATAATCGATATATTTTAACAGCTGCTGGTTGTTTTAATTCAACAGATAATTCTTCATTAGTTTCTGATAATATTACTATTGCTGCTGGTATTCATAGTTTATCGCAAAGTTGTCAAACTATTCGAGCAGTCAATGATATTTTTATTCATCCGAATTGGACATCAACAGATGAAGCTATGAATAATATTGCTATACTTCGTTTAGATGAACCACTTGATTTTAAAACTGATTTCATTCTTAGTTCAGCCTGTTTTTCATCTCAAATGGATACTTCAGTTGAAATCATGCCTAATACTACTCTAGCTGTAGCAGGATGGAATGTATTTGATAAGTTAAATAATAATATAGATCAAGTATTAAAACAATTGACTGTCTATCCAAGTCATGATTATAATGATTCATTCTGTTCAAGATTAGTCAATGATAGTGAATTCTTGTTTTGTGCAGAAAGAGATGGAGGTTTGTAGATTTTTTATTTCTAAATTAATGTATTTATTGCTTTATTTTTTCTGTTTTTTTAAATAGCTGCATGTTTCTGTAAGTGAATTTTTCTTTGATTGTCATTATTTCTTATATGTTTTCCTTTTCTTATTAGCTGAAATGGGTGCTCCTGCATT